ATTGACAACCCGATTTTCATTTTTATCAGAGCCAACGAGAAGAGAAACATAGATATTGCTCAGAGTTGCAACAAGTGGGTGTTTTCGCCACAGACTGAGAAAAAAGTGTTGTATCTTGCCGGGGTAAGTATATTTTTTATAGAATATACTTACTATAGGTATTCTGTTCAACTAATCAAGGAAGTTTTCGACAGACAACATCCAAAAAATGACTGAAATAGTGACAGTTTTGTCAGTTGGATTACTGGAAAAAATATTAATAATAATTTTTATTTTGGTGGTTCTCTGGTGAAATTGTGATACTTTTTTTTGTATGTTGTCTAAGTGGCGGATTGTACTTTTAAGTTGTTTTCAATTCAAAAGATTGTATAATTATTGTGGAAATTTATTTTTCAGAAAGGAAAGTTGGTTTATCTGGTTTTCTACGTCAGAGAATTGAACATGTTCATGGGTATCGCGCAGTATAAAAACTTGAATATAGGAAAAAATTTTAGCAAACCGACAGCAAGCATCGCGTGGACTTTTACCAGTCCAGTTCATCGCAATAAAACAAAGTAAGTAATATTTTTTTGTGGAAGTAAATCTAATTATTTAGAGACCATGAAAACTAACCACTGGATATGAAAATTTACAAATTTGTTGAACGCAAAATTTTAGAGACATTTTATTATATAATATATTATTTTACAAGTGTTATTTATAAAATAACACGTCGCAACTGTTGTTACATCCAAAAAATAACATAAAAAAATATCAGTGCGTCGACAGCAACCACTCTACAGTCTTTTCAGGCTCGCAACAGTTGTTACTTACAAAAAATAACTGATATGAACACAATAGTACGCAGTCATTAATGGTTCGCTATTTTAAGTTGGTTTAGCCGCTCCATGAAACGCTGGGAATAGTTGTTACTTACAAAAAGTAACAGGTACGAAAGTAACAGTTTATCAGCCGTTGGGCGCTCATTAGGCGATGGGCTGTTAAAATCGCCATCACCCGGGTTTTGCCAGACTTATAACTGTTTTCACTCCCAAAGAATAACATATGAAAATAACAGTGCCATAACATTGATGGCTCACTACGCAGAGTGTGAATCGGTGTGCCAAGACTTTTTATTATGCTTGCAACAGTTATTACTTTAAAAATAATAGGTACGAAAATATCGGTTCGCGACAGTGGCCGCTGGTGATGTGATATCGGAATCGCCACCACCCAGGTTTTACCAGGCTTACAACAGTTTTTACCCCCAAAGAATAACATACATGAAAATAACAGTAAGGTAATATCGAAGAATCACAATCTGGATCACTGTGTCTTCTATTCTGAAATTCTATTAAGTTTGTAACATTTGTTATTTTCAAAAATAACAGGTATGAAAATAACTATTCGCCGACGGCTGTCACTGATAATGGGCTGTCAGGATGGATGGTCATAATGGATTTTACCAGGCTTATAACAGTTGCTACTCCCAAAGAATAACAGATATGAAAATAACTGTATGTTAATATATCGATGGTTTACGATTTAAAGTCCAGATCTCGCTGTGTCACGAAATTCTACCATACTCGCAACAGTTGATCAATATTTCCGAAAAAATAATAGATATGAAAATAACAGCGCGCCGTAAGCTATGGCTCGTAATGGCAGTCTGCTTCGTCACGTTACAAAATTCTAGCAAATTTACAACAGTTGTTACTCCCAAAAAGTTAACATGATTAAAAAAAACTACGTTCTTAACTGTTACTTTCAAAAAATAACAGTTATAGAAATAACGGCAGTTTGACATCGATAACTCGCGATGGCTATGTCACGAAATCCTGCCATGCTCGCAACATTTGATCGATATTTCCCAAAAATACCATGATATTAAAATAACAGTGCGTCGTAAGCTATGACTTGTCAATTAAGTCAATTTACAAGTTTACAACAGTTGTTACTCCCAAAAATGAACATGATTGAAAATAACAGTCCACTGTGCTACGTATTTTACGAGGCTCCCAACAACTGTTACTTCCAAAAAATAACAGTTATAAAAATTAGAGCACGCTGGCATCGATGACTCGCGATAGGAAGCAGGAGCCGCTGTGAAAATTGTGTCCTTGGACTCCTGTTTTTTATGTCAAAAAACAGATATTCTTAATTTTAGTATTCCATTTTAGTGGCATTAATTCTCAAAATAATCTTAAAGAAAGGACATGGTACAATTAACTGTACGCTTTATTTTTTTCTTTAGGCATTTACACAACCCGTACAATTTTGGAAAACCGATCTTCGACGCCCAAGATGGCATGGTGATACGCCAAGATATAGGAGAAGAGTTAATAAGAATTTACAGCGAAACGGAGAGACATAATTAATTTTTTGTTCTAAATCACTCTTCACCTTATTTTACATTTATTTTTTATCGATTTATTTTTGCAACTTTTTTTTTATTTATCAATTCCATAAGCAGGATCGATACATCAATTCGCAATATGTTTGCAATATTAGAAATATTATGTTTTGTTATGTTTATGTTTATTTAATTTTATAATATAAAATCAAATTTATTAAAAAGAATGCAATATTTTTCATCAAATTTATGTTATATTTCGTCTGAAATATTGCAATATCTTTTATTAATGTTAAATTTAATTAAATAATTTATTATTATAGGATCTAATAGCAAGAGATTCTTGTTCTTTATTTATCGTATTATTAACTATCAAATCAAAATAATATATTATCAATTATAAAATGCAATGAAATCAATTAGCAATACTTACTTACATGACGTAGTTGTAAAATGTTGCAAAAAATATTCTAATATGTTTTTATTAATTTTTACATACTATCTAAAGAAACTTATACAGGTCCATTTTATTCTTGTATAGTTTATATTTTTATATGCTCTTCCGTTACAGGTAAACCGTTTTGACTATAGCAAGTCTTTCTTAATAATGATTTTATTTATTGACAATTCACTTGAATAAATGCATCTTCAACAGTTTGTTAACTGATAAAACTTGATATTATTTTTTGCAATATTAATTTAAATAATTTTTTTTAACAACTATTTTATATAACAACTAAGTTTGATTTTCATGCGTCCGTTATCCGTGGATACGATGGTCCGACGACTCGAGGATTCGTCATAGCGTTTTCGTGCCACTTTTCATCCGTAATTTTTTACTCCAACCCGTAAACGGAGAAAGATCGTACGATAACGGACGTTTTGACACTTTTTTGACAAATTTAATCTAACCTTAATAAAAATATAATAGTACAAGAGCTAGCAACGTCGGGAAAACGAGAATTTTAAGAAAGTTGGTTCTTTAATATATCTTTTGTTATCTCCCTTGACCAAAGTGCGGACCGTCTGGCTGCCGGTAGACTACTGCGGTTCACTACTGCGCATCACATCTGTACGGGGTATCCCGTTTTCGTGTGGTTTATGGGATTTCTCGTTTATGAGTAGAGATATAATGATGCGTTTTTCACATTACTCTGCTACTTTTTTATGGAATTAAATATGCTGCACATATGTTTGTCCTAGCCTCCTTAGTTCCTGAAATACAGGGCGAATTTGTGATGCGCAGTAGTGAACGGATGTTGACTACAGATATGATGCGCAGTTGTGAACGCAACGTATACCGGTAGTCAGACGGTCCGCACCCTGTTCAGGTGAGCATAGCAAAATATATATTAAAGAACGAGTTTCCTTAAAATGTCCTCTCGAAAACGATGTCAGCTCTTAGATTATAAGTAAAACAGCGAAATCGTTATGGAAATGAAAATTTAAAATGACACCAATCACAAGAAAATCGTATATCCGATGAACGGAGGCATGAGAATGCAATAAATTTAAAAACTACGTAAATTTCTAACCAATCGAAGTGTTTAAATTCAACCAATAAAATTGATATCGTATCATCGTATCGTCGGATAACGGATGCGTGAAATTCAAGCTTAAAAAAAAACAGTTGTTTTTTAATCCTCGATTACATTTTATCATCATTACTCAATCAAATACATTAATTATTAATTAATAATTAGTTAATAACATACACACACACCAAAATTATACTTTTGTTTTAAAAATTATATCATTTCTTTATTTGAATTCCAATTAAGATGCTGTTTTTCTCACATTTTTATTTTGTATTTTTAATTATTATGTTATAATAGTTATTAACCTACGTTTTAATCACAAAACATTCTACCAATAATAAATTATAAGGTTAAATATGTAGATTTAAGATTCTATGATCTCTTTATTTAATACTTAGATTTAATTATATGCAGTACAGTTCAGTATTAAGCATAATTATTATTTATTTTTTGTTATTATTCTGTATAGTTTGTATAACGAATTCTCTATACAGAGTGATCCTAATTGTAATCAAACTTGAAAACTTCAGGAATATATTCTACAGATAAAAATAAGTAAAAAAGTTTGGATAAATTTATGTCTTAAAATGGCTTCGTTTCGGGGTATAGAAGTTTGGTAATAAACCTAAATAACAATGAAACTTCTACACCCTGTATCTCAGAAACGAAGCCATTTTAGGATATAAATTTATACAAACTTATTTACTTATTTTTTTCCGGCAAATTATTATGTTATGAATTATGTTGTTTCCTGATTACAATTGAGACCACCCTGTATATCTTGTTAGAGAAAACGATATTATTAATTATATATTATGTACAAATCGTTTATAAATTACTATTTATGAATATCTAAATTCAATGATCAATTAAAAATGTTATTTATATCTTTTGATAAAGGTATAATAATTAAATTAAACAAAATTATTAATTAAATTAACTATTTATATTGTTCTTCTATTTTTAATAGTTAATATTGTTTATGTATAATTTAATTAAGTAATCCATTAATTATTGCATCTATGATATTTTGCTTGTACTAAAATATCATATTATGTTTTAAACAATTTTATCAATTGCACCAAATATTGTGTCGTTTTTCTATTGTCTTTGTCAACTTATAGTGTTTATGAAGTGTTAATTTAAATCAATTAATAGTATCTCTTATATTAAAGATATTAAAATATTATTAACTATGTTTAAAAAATTTATCAATTATTGTATTAACTGTTTATCTTGTTCTTATGTTTTATTATGTGTAAAACACTTTTATCAATTAATTATATCAACTATTTGTGTTGTTCTTATGTAATAATCCTTAGGTATAAGTTTTCGAGTTTAATAAAGATTTTCTTATAAAAATTCTTTCTTTATTTAGACACAAACCTTTCACTTTAGTACATAAAAATCCAAGAGATTTTTCAGTACCTTTCTAGGTGCATTTCAGTTCGTTTTAAAAATTTCGACCGCAGCGCTCCAACGGCAGAAATTAGAAGTACCTGATATAAAGTATTTCACGCAGTCCCGTTACCGTTTATATCGATCACGTTGAAATAATATTAAACTCGTGGCTTAGGCATAATATTTAAGTATTTGATTTTTTACTAGTGCAGTTGTTGAAACTATTAAAAATTTTTGTGACAAAGGTTTGTGTGATGTAACGCTGTCTCGGGTAGTAAAAAAATAAATGAAAAAGAACCCGAACTAGGCGTCGTGTTTTTTGTGGCAATTTCAAATGTTAATAAAATTGCCGATAAAATGTTAACGCGTAAAGGAGAGCATAATTAGGGCCTTGTTGGGTGCAATAACATTCAATAACTCAACTTTCCCGGATATTGGATATTCAACTCTCCCGAAACAATATTTTATAGCTTCACGGTTTCTCACACCGATTTGATCAAAAGCGAAAATGGTTTCAAGCAGTTCGACAAAACAAGTAAGCAAACAAAGTACTCATTACCATAATCAAAAAATTAAATAGGAATATACTATGAGAGGATAAAATATAATATACAAGATTAATGGTATATTTATTTAATCAACTAGTTATTAAATGTTTCATGAACATCTAAAATTATAATTCATGTACCTTAAAAAATTTGGTTAGTCGAAATAACCCCAATTATGACCCCACTAGCAAAACCAGTGCGTAAAACTATGCTCGCTAACGTAGTTGAACTCATCTAAAAATTTTTTTTTAGATGGAATAATAAATTAAAATACAAGTTAGACCTTCTGAAGGTATCAAAATATTTACTTTTTTACTTTTATTTTTAGAATTTTCACAAATTATACTTCCTAACACTTTTAGAATAATTATATAATCCATTTTTAGTATACTCGCTATTTAAACCCGTGTATTTGTATATACCAGTTGTTTACGATATTCTCCGATGGTGGCAGCGGCAGCACCGGCGGAGAATGCACCAGGTCTATAGGCTTGATCAGGGGTGAATGGGGAAGTAGAAACCGGCCCGGGAAAAACAGGTAACCGGCCCTAATCCACAAAAACAAAATGACCATAACGAAGAAACATATTTTTTTATTTATTAATATATAACTAGGGGTGTTTTTTGCTCGTGCGAAAAAGCTGTTTTGCCTCCCGTTTAAAAAAGAATAAATTGTCTTGATCAAAAATTTCGTAAAGACCAATATTGGATTGGACATCTGTATTTTGAACTACAAAATGGTTCAGTTTTACAGGGTTCTACTGTTTCATTTCCATTATCGATAACGGTAATTTGATCTTGAACTGGCTACGATTTTGAGTCACGATTTTGAGAAACTGTAAGACTTCCTGATTCATTCAGTTCAGCTGACACAGAAAGAAATTCTCTCTTTGCTCTGCTACAGCAGCAGCCTCCTCGTGTACACATGTTTTAACTGAATGAACCGCGATCGCCATTAAAACTGCAGTATTTTTTAGGTTACTATATAGTTCTTATCACGAAACTTTTCCTCTATACTTTTTTACATTTGGATTCTTGTATGATAATGCCATGACTTAAACGAAAAAAACCTAGGCAATACCTAGGCAGTGGATATAAATGTGTTCTGATGTATTGCTATGTTACAGTCCCTAATAAGAATATTTGGATTTTCGAGACATATTAATATTTTATTATCTAATCTAGTTTAAACCTTATTTAACTTTCTCTTAACTCTTCTCTATTTAACTCTGCTGTCTCAGTAATTTTTAGCAAATTCATTTTAGCAACATTTTAAACAACAATTTAGACTGGGCTTTTAGTCCGTCCCCAATTCAAGCCAAGCATATATATGTTTTCTCCATCAACCGCAGAGTTCCCGTCAAATTCGTCTACCTTTTTACAAATGGGAGCTCGAAAAATATTGCACCCAGGCCCCCAGTTGTCAATTTACGCTATCGTATTCTTAGTATACATTTAGATCGAGACTATTTCAATTTAGCTAATGCTATTCGTCCTTTTTTGCTGCCAGTCAGTCATATTTATTAGTTATTAATAAAAGAATAGTGGGTAAAACTAAACAGGGTGAGTCTCAAATAAGTACAAATATTTTCA